GCACCATCCAGTTCTTCCAGTCTCATGAAAAAGGAGGCATTTGTTCATGCAAGCAATTAAGCATGCATTACATTTCCTCCTCCTGTTCATTACTCTCCCTCTTTCTCTGCTGCTGCATGTGAATAGAGACCGATTATTGTACCCTGCAAGCTTTTAAGACCCCAGGCATTATGTAATGAACTAGCAGGTAGAAGAGAAGCACTAAAAATGATAGCAGGCCAATTATCTGGGATGTCCCATGAAAACATGACCCTAAACCTCTAAACCAAAGAAACTAAATCCCATAAGGTGTTTGGTTGTATAGAAGCAGCGTCTGCAACTTTATACATTTTAGTGGCATTTTCTACTGGGAAGAGCAGGGGATGGGCATGAAGGAGCCTGGATTCCAGTGCTGGCAGTGCACTTCTACAAACTGCCTGGATTCATATTCTGACTTTACCACTTATTCATTGTGGAACTTAGACAAGTTACTTTACCTCTCTGTGCCTCAGTGTACCCATCTCTAACTGGGGGCTAAGAGAACCTAACATAGGATTGTTTTGTGGATTCAATGAAATACATGTAAGTGCTTAGAAAAGTTTTAAGTGTTCGCTGGAATTATTAGATGGTGAAAGGTAGGATCAATAAACACTGAAACAAGGGCAAGGAGAAGGCCTCAATGTTCATGGAAGACAGAAAAGTTAAGTCCACACACTCTCTGAAATAGTTTCATAAATGTTACTTTATCGGAAAGTATCAGTGGAAAGCATTACTCTACATAATCTAGGCTTAGGAACCAGTTGCCATCGAGTCGATTCCAACTCATAGCGACCCTGTAGTACAGGCATAGGTAGTACAATTGTTTAGTTTGATCCTTTATATGTTTTAATGAAACGTCTCTCTAAATCTCTCTATCTCTGTGTGCTACATTCAAAGCTAATTGTCAGTAATCTATTATTATGACCCGGCTTAGTATTAAAATGTACAATTTAGCAAGAGTAGTTTCATTTTGTGTTTTGCAGAGGGACTATGTCTTTAATTGTTGGAAACTGTTCCTAGCTTTCAGGACTAGTTTTCTATATGAAGCTTAACTCTCTCCTGGGAGATGCTTTTATGATTTGTCCACTCCTCCTGTGAAATTTACCCTAGTCTTTACTTGACTTTTTTCACTTATTGTCAGTCTGGTTTTACCTTTATTGAGAGTACAGTGAGTCTTTATCTTCTACCTTTACAAAATCACGTTTCTTTCTTCCAGTAGTTCAAAAACTTGCCAAATAAAATTTTTGCTAAACTTTTCTGGAACATCTTCTTTTGTCCTTTAGTTTACATTTTTGGCATATAAAATTTTTGCTAAATATATAGATAGATTAGATTGAAGATAGTCAATAATAATAGTATATAAATGCATTATATAACATTTAGAATACTGAGCTTTTATTTAAAACGCTGGGGTTTTCCCCTGTGATACTCTATTGCTAAATCAAAAAGAGTCCATTTGGTTTCATGTTACTTACTTTGTAATTTCATCTGGAGCATCAAAATGGCCATCATAATTATAATCAAATACTGGTCCACTAATCACATTTACTCCATTTCTTTCTGCAGCATATCTTATAAGAAGAACATTGTGGAAGTAATGCCATAGTTCTAAAAATAAGAGTGAGGTGTTACAAGTGTCTACCTCTACCATATATGGAAATACGTTATGGACAAGTACACTTAAATAATTATCATCAAATTCTGCTTCAGTAATTAGCAGTGGTACTCCCAAGACTATGGCCCCCAGACATTCTGCTAACGTAGAACTTGAACCACTCCCAAAACCCATTTTTCAGACAAAGATTAGACAGGCCTATAAAACAAACAATAACACGTGAGGAACATACTTTCTTAGTTCAATCAAATATACGAGACCAAATAGGCAACTCCTGCCCAAAAGCAAGACAAGAACGCAGGAAGGGACAGGAAAACTGGATGAATGGACACATGGAACCCGGGATGGAAACCAATGTTATGGAACACTTTATACACAAACTATCAAATGGGAAACTAATTTGCTCTGTGAATTTTCACCTAATGCACACAAAAAAATTAAAATAACTAAATAAATACATAAAATTTGGACTGGTGATTGGTTAATTCTACAAAACACATTGATGACACGTTTTTGTTGCTGTCGTTGTTGCAGTCTTGAAATTATAGTTGAATATGTTTCCAAATTCCACCCTAAGGCTGAGGTACTTTTGGGACAGTGGGTGTTGGCTAAAAATGATCATAATACAAATAAATAAAAAAATAAAATCATTGTCATTGAGTCTATTCCAACTCATAGCGACCCTATAGGACAGAGTGGAACTGCCCCATAGAATTTTCAAGGCTATAGTCTTTACAGGAGCAGACTGCCAATTCTTTCTCCTCTGGGGCAGCTGGTGGGTTTGAACTGTCCACCTTTCAGTTAGTAGCTAAGTGTTTTAATCACTACTCCACCAGGTCTCCTTTTTATTTATTTATTTATATTGTGCTTTAAGTGAAAGTTTACAGTTCAAATTAATTTCTCATACAAAAATTTATGTGACACTAGTTGCAATCCCTATAATGTGAAAACATACTCCCCCTTTCCACCCCGGGTTTCCTGTGTCCATCCAACCAGCTGCTGTCCCTGCCTTCTCATCCTGCCTCTGATAGGAGCTGCTCTTTTGGTCTCGTGTATCTGCTTAAACTAAAAAGCACACTCTTATTTTATGTTTTATAGTCCAGTCTAATCTTTGTCTAAACTAAAAAGCACACTCTTATTTTATGTTTTATAGTCCAGTCTAATCTTTGTCTGAAGAGTGGACTTCGAGAATGGTTTTAGTTAGGGGCTCCTTTTTAGAACACACATACTACCTTGTTAATGATGACTCTTGGGACAAACATTAAACTTACATTTACTTACGGTATCAGTAAAATTTAGCTTTGTGAATAGCTCTTTACTGTTAAACTGTTGTTATGTTGTTGTTAGGTGCCATCCAGTCAGTTCCGACTCATAGTGACCGTACATGTACAACAGAACGAAACACTGGCCAGTTCTGTACCGTCCTCACAGTGGTTGCTACGTTTGCACCCACTGGTACAACTACTGTGTCAATCCATCTTGCTGAGGGTGTTCTTCTTTTTCGCTAACCTTCTACTTTACCAAGCATGATAGCCTTCTCCAAGGACTGGTCCCTCCTGATAACATGTTCAAAGTACGTGAGACAGTCTCGCCATTCTCGCTTCTAAGGAGCATTCTGGTTGTACTTCTTCCAAGACAGATTTGTTCGTTCTTTAGCAGTGCATGATATATTCAGTATTCTTTGCCAACACCATAATTCAAAGGGATCAATTCTTCTTCCATCTTCCTTATTCATTGTCCAGCTTTCACATGCATATGAGGCAATTGAAAATACCATGGCTTGGGTCAGGCGCATCTTAGTCCTCAAGGTGACATCTGTGCTTTTTAATACTTTAAAGAGGTCTTTTGCAGCAGATTTGCACAATGCAATAATCATTTGATTTCCTTTTATTATTATTGTACTTTAGATGAAGATTTACAGAACAAACTAGCTTCTCATTAAAGATTTAGTACACATATTATTTTGTGACATTGGTTACCAACCCCACGACATGTCAACACTCTCCCTTCTCAACCTGGGGCTCCCTATTACCAGCTTTCCTGTCCCCTCCTTCCTTCTAGTCCTTGCCCCTGGGCTAGTGTGCCCCTTTAGTCTCGTTTTGCTTTATGGGCCTGTCTAATCTTTGGCTGAAGGGTGACCCTCAGGAGTGACTTCATTACTGGGCTAAAAGGGTGTCTGGGGGCTATACTCTCAGAGTATCTCTAGTCTCTGTCAGGCCAGTAAGGCTGGTCTTTTTCTGTAAGCTAGAATTTTGTTCTACATTTTTCTCCAGCTCTGTCCCAGACCCTCTATTGTGATCCCTGTCAGAGCATCATTTGATTTCTGGACTGCTGCTAACATGGGCGTTAATTGCGGATCCAAGTGTAGTGAAATCCTTCAGTATTTTTTATCTGTTTATCATGATGTTGTTTATAGGTCTAGTTGTAAGGATTTTTGTTTTCTTTATGTTAAGGTATAATCCATACTGAAGGCTGCAGTGTTTGATCTTCTTCAGTGAGTGCTTCAAGTTCTCTTCGTTTTCCACAAACAAAGTTGTGTCATCTGCATAGCACAGGTTGTTAATGAGTCTTCCTTCCATCCTGATGCTGCATTCTTCTTCATATAGTCCATCTTCTCAGATTATTTGCTCAGTATACAGATTGAATAAGCATGGTGAAAAAATACAACACCAACGCACACGTTTCCTGACTTTAAACCACACACTATCCCCTTGTTTTCTTTGGTCGACTGCCTCTTGATCTATGTACAGTTCCTAATGAGCACAATTAAGTGTTTTGGAATTCCTTTTCTTCCCAATGTTATACATAATTTGTTATGGTCCACATAGTCAAATGCCTTTCAATAGTTAATAAAACACAGTAAAGATCTTTCTGGTATTCTCTGCTTTCAGCCAAGATCCATCTGACATCAGCAATGATATCCCTGGTTCCACGTTCTCTTCTGAATCCAGCTTGAATTTCTGGCAGTTCTGTGTGAATGTACAGCTACAACTGCTTTTGAATGATCTTCAGCATAATGTTACTTGGGTATGATATTAATGATATTGTTGGATAATTTTCACATTCTGTTGGATCACCTTTCTTTGGAATAGGCACAAATATGGATCTGTTCCAGTTGGTTGGCCAGGTAGCTGTCTTCCAGATCTATTGGTATAGATGAGTGAGCGCTTCCAGCATGACATCGATTTGTTGAAACATCTCAATTGGTATTCAGTCAATTCCTGGAGCCTTATTTTTCGCTAATGCCTTCAGTGCAGCTTGGACCTATTCCTTTAATACCATTGTTTCTTGAACATATATTACCTCCTGAAATAGTTGAACTTCGATCATTTCTTTTTGGTACAGTAACTATATGTATTCCTTCCATCTTCTTTTGATGTTTCCTGTGTCGTTCAATTTTTTGCTCATGGAATTCTTCAATATTGCATCTTGAAGCTTGAATATTTCTTCAGTTCTTTCAGCCTGAGAAATGCTGAGCATGTTCTTCCCTTTTGGTTTTCTAACTCCAGGTCTTTGCACATGTCATGATAATACTTTGTTTTCTCAAGCTGCCCTTTGAAATCTTCTGTTCAGCTCTTTTACTTCATCATTTCTTCCATTCGCTTTAAGTACTGTATGCTCAAGAGCAAGTTTAGGAGTCTCTTCTAACATCCATTTTGGTCTTTTTTTTTTTTTTTTCTGTCTTTTTAATGATCTTTTGCTTTCTTCATATATTATGTCCTTGATGTCATCCCACAACTTGTCTGGTCTTTGGTCTTTAGTGTTCAATGAGTCAAATCTTTTCTTGAGATGGTCTCTAAATTCAGGTAGGATATACTCAAGGTAGTACTTTGGCTCTCGTGGACTTGCTATAATTATCTTCAGCTTCAGCTTGAACTTGCACTTGAGCAATTATTGGTCTGTTCTGCAGTCAGCCCCTAGCTCTGTTTTGACGGTACTGAGCTTCTCTATCATCTCTTTCCACTAATGTAGTTGATTTGATTCCTCTGTATTCCATCTGGTGAGATCCACATGTACAGTCACTGTTTATGTTGCTGAAAAAAGGTATTTCCAATGAATAAGTCATTGGTCTTGCAATATTCTATCATGCAATCTCCAGGTTTGTTTGTATCACCAAAGCCATATTTTCCAACTACTGATCCTTCTTCCTTGTTTCCAAATTTCACATTCCAATGACTAGTAATTATCAATGCATCTTGATTGCATGCTTGATCAATTTCAGACTGCACAAGTTGGTAAAAAATCTTCAATTTCTTCATCTTTGGTACTAGTAGTTGGTGCGTAAATTCAAATAGTTGTATTAAATGGTCTTCCTTGTAGATATATGCATATTATACTATCACTAAGGTGTTGTATTTCAGGATAGATTTTGAAATGTTCTTTTTGACGATGAATGCGATGCCATTCCTCTTCAACTTGTCATTCCTGGTGTCATGGATTGAATTGTGTTCCCCCAGAATATGTGTATCAATTTGACTAGGCCATGATTCCCAGTATTGTGTGACTGTCCACCGTTTTGTTATCTGATGTGATTTTCCTATGTGTTGTAAATCCTACCTGTATGATGTTAATGAGGTGGGATAGGCAGCAGTTATATTAACGAGGCAGGACTCAATCTACAAGATTGGACTGTGTCTTGAGCCAATCTCTTTTGAGATATAAAAGAGTGAATGGGAGCAGAGAGACAGAGAGACCTCATACCACCAAGAAAGCAGCTGGGAGCAAAGCTCATCCTTTGGACTCTGGGTTCCTGCACAGGGAAGCTCCTAGTACAGGGGAAGATTGATGAGAAGGAATTTTCTCCAAAGCTGACAGAGAAAGAAAGCCTTCCCCTGGAGCTGATGACCTGAATCTGGACTTCTGGCCTACTAGACTGTGAGAAAATAAATATTTCTGTGTAAAGCCGTCCACTTGTGATATTTCTGTTATAGCAGTACTAGCTAACCAAGACACCTGGCATAGTAGACCCTATGATTGTCAGATTCAAAATGACCAATACCAGTCCATTTCAACTCACTAATGCCTAGGATATCAATCTTCAAGTATTCCATTTCATTTTTGAAAACTTCCAGTTTTTCCTGATTCATACTTAGTACATTCCACTAAATATGAATTATTAATGGATTTTTGCAGCCGTTTCTTCTCATTTTGAGTCATGCCACATCAGTAAATGAAGGTCCCAAAAGCTTTACTCCATTCACGTCATTAAGGTCCATTCTACTTTGAGGAGGCAGCACTTCCCCAGTCATATTTTGAGTGCCTTCCAACCTGAGGGGCTCATCTTCCGGCACTAAATCAGACAATGTTGCACTGCTACCCATAATGTTTTCACTGGTCAGTTTTTTTAGAAGTAGATCGCCATGTCCTTCCCAGTCTTAGTCTGGAAGCTCCACTGAAACCTGTTCACCATGGGTGAATCTGCTGGTATTTGAAATACCAACGGCATAGCTTCTAGCATCACAGCAACACATAAGCCACCACAGTATGACAAACTGACAGACGAAGGGTGAATTGTTAAGTTAGGGATTAAAAACAAATTATCAGAATTCTAGCAACAAGTCAGCCAAAATTGAAGCAAGTTTAAAAGAAACTATGCCAGAGATCTTTCCTGAACTATACGTAAAACATTAGAACAAAATAGCTCTTACTATCAGGAATAAATTGCAATAAAAGATGTGTTTAATTTGGACATTTAGGGAATCACTTAGCAATTTAAAGATAATAATCTGAATATATACTTACTTTTGAATTCCTCATACATAGGGATCAAATTACTTGTAATTAAAGCATCATATTGACCTTCAGAAGTTCTGTTGTTTGCTGCAAGACAAATGAATTTTATTAAATCTAACTATAAAAGAAAATATGATATACTGTATAAAAGGCCTATTTCTACTACATACTAAAGCAATATGTAGAGGTACTACAAAATGTAGAGGTACTAAGTACTCTCAGTAGAGGTTATTACTGATACCGGTAGTAGGTTGAATGGTGACCCCAACAAAGATATGTCTGTGTCCTAACTCTTGCTACCTGTCAGTGTTACCTTATTTGGAAACAGGGTCTTTGCAGATGTAATTAAACTTGGGTTTTGAAATGAGATCATCCTGGATTTAGGGAAGGCCCTAAAGCCAATGACTAATGTTATAAGAGAAAGGATAGGGAGATTTGAGAGGAGGAAAAGGTCATGTGAAAAGGGAGGCAGAGATTGGAGTGATATAGCCACAAGCCAAGCAACACCAGGAGCCACCAGAAGCTGGAAGACACAAGGAGGGATTCTCCCCCAGAACCTTCTGAGAAAGCATGACCCTGCTGACACCTTGATTTTGTTCTTCTGGCCTCTAGATCTATGAAAGGTAAATTCCTCTTGTTGTAAGTCACCAAGTCTGGAAATTTGTTACAGCAGCTGTAGAAAATGAATATAATACCAGACATGGATGTATGTATAGTTATTTAATGTGCACAAAATAATAATGCTTTTATAAATAATGCTATTCCAAAATAAAATTTCCTGAAGAAAATGAGTTTTTAGTCAATAAAGACAGCTGGCAGGAGGACCACAAATGATCAGCTCTGAGACCTGACAAACGTGTGCAGCACGGTAAGCGTTAAGTGTGTGTGCTCTGAATCCAGGCTGCCCAGGGTGGAAGCCCAGCTCTTGAGCTCCTCAGCTACACCACATGAGCAAAGGGCCTGGTCTTTCCATGTTTCATTTGTCTCCTCATATCTGTCTCATATAATTGTTTTATTAGGAGCTGCAAACCTATAAATGCTTATTATAATACTGTTTGTATTTAAACTATGCTTGAGTAGGTATCTTAACTAACACTTAAATCAGAGACCAATGCACCCATTGGACACCAAAAACAAGGAGAAACAAGCCTTTTTCTTTTTTCTTCTCATAAGATTTCACATGGAGTTTAAGGCCCTCAAGATCCCAATAAACCTTTTCTACTTTTTACACTAAGCCATGAAATTTGGGAAGGCCATCAGTATAATATTACCTCTGTTTCAGATAGATATGAAAATTTGCTGGTAATAAAGTTTCTGATTCTAACCAATTAGCTAGAATTCATAGTGGAGAGTCAGAAGGGAGTTTCATTCTACCCTTAATACTTTTTGAAAGGCAAATTGCTTATTTATTCATTACATTTCCTTGTCAAGGCAAACATTTATATATCAACTAATATCTGATGGTTTAGCAAATACAATTTAAAATTTTGATCAACAAAATGTTGCAACTATTAAAGATTTATCCTAGATTTTACGTAAATTTGTGAACTCTCATTCCATCTAGATACTTAAATATCAGTGTCTTTATCCTAATTCTGTTTTAGAAATTTTCAAAGGCTGTGATACTTGCTTTCCTTAAGCCTTTTTCCCACTATAAATCTCTGAATCTCTAAATTATAAATTTCTAAATTAACCATATTTGGTCATAGCTTGAAGGAGAATTAAGCAAAATATCAGAAATAAAACAATTCCAAGAAGCTGAAATTGTTGCAAATCTCTTGGGCAAGTTAATGAAAAATGACATTTCTTGGCAAACAGGGAAGACATCTGAGTTTTAGAAAAATCACACCGACTTTGGATGTCCCTAGAACAGATGCTTTCCAAAAAATACTTAAGGTTTATTCAGCTTCTTAATCCACAGTTTAAAACTATTGGATACATAGCGTGAGTGAGAGGCCAGGTTCTGGCCTGATTGCTTTTCACAGACACAGCTGCATTCTCAGGGCGGGCCTCAGCTGGGCAGTAGCCAGAAAAGATGTTTATTTTAGATGCTTGTGTCCTTCTCCAAGGAATCTTCAGTTTTAAAATTAAACTTAAACCTGCCGAACTCTCTCAACATCTGGGCCAGATTAGAGCTGCAAAATCTATTAGACTTTATTATAGCTGTTGTACTGCCTCTCGCCAGTCCACAACCACTGAAAGCCGCCTAGGCAGCTAGTTTGGCCCAAGCAGGCAGTTTTGGTAGGGAATATATGTTTAAGGCACATGCCCACATCCAGCTGATGAGGGCTTTCTAAGACACTGCTCTGAAAGAGTTACACTACTAACCAGGAGGATAGAGGAAGCCGTGGGTGATATTCTCGTCCGCTAAATAGAAGGAACATTTTTGGCTCTCAGAAGGAGTGACCCTGACATCAGCCCGCAGACAGTCTGAGACAGGGGAAGGAAGAGGCGATGTGTCTCCCTCCTGAAAGAGAGAAAAGAAAAAGAAAAATTATGTGGCTCACCCATTGCCTTATATGGTTTGTAACTTCCCTACAATGTTTTTCATTTAACCTTTTCCTATTTTCTTAGTGAATCAGTTCTATGTAAGCAATGGAAATGGGTGTCTTCAGAGTATTTTGTTCTGTGGTTCCGTTCTGGGTAGGGACACTGAGAGGGTAAATCAAATACACATTAGAAAGAAATATTTGCAGAGGAAAATCTGAATTGAGAGCAGAGGAATAATGGGAGCTATTGCCAAAAAGCAAAATCCTTTTCAGGATCTGACTTCTATGTGGTGATATATGTTGTACTCGTAAATAAAAACTTAATGTAAAATGTAAACAGTTTATTTGAAAAATATAGATATGAACTTGCTTCAGCTGAGTAAGGACTTCTAACCAATTTAAGATTAATTTTAAGAAGCCTTAGTGGTCTGATCTTACGTATTTGGGGATTGAAAGAAATCTGTGGTTATGCTTCATTTCTATAATTTTTCTATACATGCTGTATTTTCTATAATTTTCTTTGTAGTCATAGTTAAAGACTAGTATAATCATGTATTCAGCAGGAGACATCCTATAAATGTACTGCCTGGCCCAAATATTTAAAGTAATACAGTATTACATGATCATTATATTTTGATTAGCATGTCATCATGGGTGAGTGAGCATTTTGATTTTTGTTAGAATTTTTCAAAGATATTTTTATCTTCATGGCCTCTAACTATACACATAGGATATCCTTCTTAACAGTGCTCAAAACAATTTATAAACAAGAAAGTTAAGTTAAATTAGAATGGTCTTGCTCTATTCACTACTTTGTAGTAAAAGCAAAAATTAACCATAGTGTCTAAAATGTATGAGATCAATTCACAAAAGAAAAGGCAACTGTACACTGTGTGCTATATTCCTAGGCAGGAAAGTACCATGCTGAGGTATGGAGTAGGTGAGAACTGAAGGTGAGGGGAGTCTGAGGAAAGCCATGTAGAGACTGCACCCCTAACATACTGCACCACTCCATTTGAAAAACACAATACAAAAGTTGAGTAAAACATAGTAGATTGAACACAAACATTTATTTCCACTTCCTTCTGAAATCTCACTAAAATGACAGCAATGATGAAGACACATAAGAGTTGACAAGAAATTTTCAGAAGCTGGAAAACAGATCAACAAATAGTAAGCTGACATAATAGATGAGCAAACACTGACAACCAAGAGCCTGTGATTGGGGAAAGCACAAGGAAGCAGATTCCTTAGAACCCCAGATGGGTTTAGAACCTGTGGTCTCCTAAAGATAGGGGCTGTAAATAGGGCTAGAAACAAGAGGGTAGGTTGAAAGTCTGTAAAAGAAGCCAGACAGAATGTTTACTCTCTGGAGAGGTTGAACCAGAGGGACTGCCAGCCTGGAGAACACAAGCCACAGCTAGCTGAGAGGAAGTGTACCATTTGGAAAACAATGAATTTAAATAAAAATGTACATACTGGATGAAAAGACTCCTCCCAGGCTCTTTGCCCAATGTAGGTTGCCAATTTTATATACACTGGGTCAGATTAGAAGAGTCCTCTTTTTGGGAAATAAGCCAGCACAAAAGGAAAATTATAGATACTGACAGTTGGGGTCCTCAACAAAATGGCTGGGTACTTTCTTGATCAAGCTATAGTAAAACTCATCAGCTAGCATGCCCCAACCATGTAGTTTAGTGCCTCACCCTTAAAATATGAACTGCCAGCCAAGGACCACCAGACATTTGACAGGAGGGAGAAGAACTAAGAAGAAAAAGATAATGCCGAGAGCAGAAGAAAACTCCTTTCTCAGAGAAATGAGATCTTTATGCAACCATAAATAAAGAACAGAAAGCAATAAAAAGGGAAATAGAGAACCCCGTCTGGAGCAAGGGAGAATGAAGAAAACCAAAGACACAAAGTAAAGATTAGCCCAAAGGATTAACCACAACTACCACAGCTTCCATCAGACTGAGTCCAGCACAACTAGATGGTGCCCAGTGACAGGGATCACAACAGAGGGTCTGTGAGAATGTAGAAAAAAATTGTAGAACAAAATTCAAACTCACAAAAAAAGACCAGACTTACTAGTATGATTATAATATAGAGACTGGAGAAACCCTGAGAGTATGGCCCCCGGACACCCTTTTAACTGAGTACTAAGGTCACTCCTGAAGTTCATGCTTCAGCCAAAGATTAGAGTGGCCCATAAAACAAACAATAGTGCACGTACCTCAACCATGTATACGAGATTAAATGGGCACACCAGCCTAGCGACAAGGACGTGAAGGCAGGAGGGGACAGGAAAGCTGGACGAATGGAAATGGGGAACCCAAGGCTGAGAAGGGGAGACTGTTGACATATAGCGGGATTGGCAAAGAATGTCACAAAACAATATGTGTATTAATTTTTCAGTGAGAAACTAATTTGCTCTGTAAACTTTCATCTAAAGCACAATTAAAAAAAAATAAGGCAGGAGGGAAGAGAACACAAAGAACTCTGGATATATTAAAAAATATGATAGAAATAAAATACTCAATAAGATTTAGAAGATGAAGTTTCAGATAGTTCTCAAAAAGTGGAACAAAAGACAAAGAGGTAGAAAAGAAATGGAAAAAAAAACATTAAAAAAAAAAATGAGAGTATCAGTCCAGGTCTAATGTCCTATTAGTTTTTGAAGGAAAAATTACTCCTAAAATTCTAAAAAGCCAGTCAAATCACTAATTAAATCTATAGATAAAGAACATTTTGAAACATACAAAGTCTCAAAAATATATTTTCCCTTATTCCTTTTTTTAGTAAACTCCTGGGTGATCTATTGAGTCCGTAAAAACAAGAAATATGGTAAACCAAGAAATGCAAATATAATTGGTGTTAGATTGAACAGACTGGATCTTGCCATTCATTTCAGTCTCCTTCTGAAGGTGCGGTGGTTAAGAGCTCCGCTGCTAACCAAAAGGTCTGCAGTTCGTATCCACCAGCCGCTCCTTGAAAACCCTATGGGGTAGTTCTACTCTGTCCTACATGGTTGCTAGGAGTCACAATTGCCTCCACAGCAACGAGTTATTCCTTCTGAAGGCAGAGGCTGAAATGCTAAAAACACTTGCTTATAGTTTTTCAAAAACATAGTAAATAGTTGTGAATGACCAGTTTTCTCCACTTAGTTTTAAAAGGGCACATACAGATGTTGTAAAATAGGAGTATGTGGAATATCAATTGCTGACTGAATCAGCTCCATAAACACCCAGAATATTATGAGTTGATGCTTCCTATCACACATCTTTATCATTTTACTCTAACATTTCATGTTTAGTAAGTGTTTCTTAAAGAATTATACAACGTATAAAAGCCATAGCTGCATTTTCCATAATGTAAAGAGAATTAAATGCCTATATTCCAACAGTTAAAATTATAAGAATTTAAAAGTTTATTGTAATTTTAAGTGCATTATTAAATGTTAATAGTGCCAAGGGAAATATTAATATAATTAAGTGTTATTAATCTCTTTATTCTAAATCTGAATCCAATATTAAATCACATAGTCTAATTGAAATAATTAACTGTGGAAGCTGTGATTTAGTTGAGCAAAGTGTTTACTACTTTTTCCATGTGGCACAGACTTGGGATTGGGGCAAATGGACCATGATATCTTCAGATGGAAAGCACTGAAAAAATGTTATACTTTTTCTGCTGTCTGAAAAATCCTCATTTCTTACATACCTAACTTGAACCACGTAATGTAAGTGCATCAAGACTAGCAAAGACAGGATGTGGTTGCCTTACAAAGGTGACATTATGTAACAGATAGCCTTCAAGAAAGATAGAGAGGAGGTATGGTTAAGTCATTTCTGAGTCTTGGTCTCAGAAAGAAGACAATAGTGAACCACCACCACCCCAAACACACTTCAGTCCTGCCGTATTTTCAAGGTTCCCGGGACTTTTTGAAACCAAGGAATACAAAGTCAGAAAAACAACAGAACTTAGGTGCTCAGATAAAATCTGAACTCCCTAGTCCTTAAAATTCTTCAGGAGTAAGTGTCTGATAAACAGAGACAGGAAAGTAAATGTGAACAGAGGGAAAAATCATTTTTACTGAAGTTATAGACTCTCCTTATCTGTAGGCTGAATGTAAAGCTAAACTTATTTGAAGATTGAGCAATTATGGTCTTGCCCTATGATAAGATAATAACTATATACATTTTGGAATTTTTTGCTGTTCCTGTAATTATTTTCTGCAGGGTAAAGTCTCTAGTTCTTAAAGACTCACAAAAACATGACTGGGTCAATAATTTATAATAACAAAGATAACAAAAAAAGATTTAGAAACAAAAAAGACTTTTTAAAAATTCAAAGATACGGAATATTTTACATCTGTGTGTGTATATATATGCGTTTTCAAGGTACATTAGATTTTCTTCTGTGATAAAGTCCTTTGATTCCATATTAAATTTCTTAAGTATTTATTTTAACAATAACTGTAATTCTTGCTCTTATTTTCAGTTTTTCACCTAGCAACAATAACAACACAACACATTTCACATCTTCCTACTGAGCAGGGCCTGATCAGCCTTAATGGCTTTGAAGCAGTTATTGTAAGACCATGATTTCAAATTACAGCTACTTCCCCAGAACTCTTCTGAGATAATAACAACAAAAATTAGAAAACCCACCAAAGCCAAAGAAAAACAAAAGCTCCATAAAACTTAGAGGCACAAGCCAACTGGGCCCATGTTCCAAAAAGCGCTTATTTAAAGCCTGATTTTTCAAACACAGAGCTGATTTACAACATTTTTATGTGAATCTCAAAACATCCTTGTATGTAATTTTTGTGAACCACAACATACTAACAGAGTAATTTCTGAATTAGAGAGCAGAAAATTGCTAGAATTCCATCCCATCACAAGGAGAGAGAAATACACAAGGAGTTCTGTGGGATCAATGAAAGGACAAGAATTTTGGTAACAAAAAGCTAGTTTTTTAAAACAACGAAAAAGAATTGTACCAAACTTTTAGTCGGTTAGCCCCCTTAAAATCTCTCTGCTTTTGGTTTCCGCCAAAGCTCATATAAATTCAGGAATGCAAGTTCCAGAGGAAAGTATTAAACACATAAACATTCCCCTTAACTCCATACACTCCCTTGTAGCTTTTTCAAATAGAGAATTGAATGAGGCACAGGAAGACTGACCTTCTTGAAGATGCGCCCCCCTCCAAGAAAAAAAAAACAACATAGAAATTATTTTAAGAAATGTGGCATGCTGAAGAAAATAAAAAACCACCGAACATTGTGCATATTAAGAAAGTAATGTTGCCACCAGCCATACAAATTAACTCAGGTAACTGTAAAATATTTGCCCACATTGGAACATGAACAACATTAGCACTGTGCTACCAGTGACCACAACTGAACCATTGTCAGCAGCGGAGTTTGACTTTTAGAACACACAAAGCTTTAATCAACAGTGGGACAATATGCTTATTTTTCAAAAATCTTCAGTTGGAACAAGAACAGTAGCTAAACCAGATACAAACAGTTTCCTTTCCATAAAAAGAGGCAGAATATCTGTATCCTTAACAAGAACAATAATAGCTAGAGGTTTATCATCAAAGTCCCTGAATCTAAAATACTAAGATTATCTCTATAAAAACAGCTTTTTGACTTACTTACATTTCTGGCTGGAAGAACAATTTTCCCCTTAAAAGTTTTTTTTTTTTTTAAATAATGGTTGTGATTAATTCATCCAATGTGTTCATTCATACGCATTTACTCAACAGCTTTACTGTGCTGGAGGTACATTCAATAATACCATCCCTGTCCTGAAAGAATGTTCAGATCAAATTTCGGCAGACTTTGATTTTTGCTTTAATTTATATTTCCCTGATAGCTAATGAGGTTGAATTGCTTGGTTCATATCCTTTGCGCATTTATCAACTAAGATGCTTGTCATTGTCTTGTTTATTCATACATTCTTATTAGGTATTCTGGATCCTAATTACTCTTCTGGATACTTCATTACTTTTTTCTTATATGCAATGCAAAGGTATTTCCCCATCCATAACTTTGTCTTTTTGTCACACATTAATATCAATGTTGTCAAATTATTCAATTCCCTCTGTGTTTTTTCTTCTTGTGTTTTTAGAAATCTTTGTCTATCCCAATGTCATAAAGACATGTACAAAGGAAAATATGGATTCCCTTTTCAATTTAGGTCTATAAATTCAGTAGTAATTTAATTTTGTGTATGATATGAAGCTGATGCCATCAAGTTGATCCCGACTCATGACAATTCCATGTGTGTCAGAATAAATGTGCTCCATAGGGTTATCAATGGCTGATTTTTCAGAAGTAGATCACCAGGCTTTTCTTCCCAGGCACCTCTGGAAGAACTGGAACCTCCAACCTTTTAGTTAGAAGCCAAGCACATTAACTGTTTGTACCACCCAGGAACTCCATATGATATGAAGTAGGGATCTAATTTCAATTTTTTTTCCTTATGTTTAGTCAACTGTCTCAGCAACATTTATTGAAAAGGGACAAGGGTCTGAACAAGTGGATTCCTGACATCGGTTTGGAGAGATCTGTGACATAACACACCTGTATATATATATGTCTAGCCTGACTTATTAGAGGGGTTGGGTCCTTCAGGAAGGATTACATCTTGTTCACACTGTGTTCCCTGTGCCTACCACAGCACACAGCAGATAGTAAAGTGTTTGTTAAATGAATTAATAATCAAACACAAAGCCCTCGTTATCTAGTTACCATCACATTCTAGATGCATCCACCATATACTTAGGAAAAACCAAATGAGTTGTGTGCCTTTGTCCTTCCTGTTTCTTCTTTTTGAAATGTTCTTTCCTACCAGCTTTACCAATTGGCCAGTAAACACTTCCTAATTTCAAAATGCAATGTTTTACTCTTCTGCACTCCCACGACACCTTTATGTTATACCTGGTACGTTGTCTTATAAGTCACTGGCCAGTGATCTTTCTTTGGGACCACCACTGCAAACCAATGTTCAACTCATAGAATATTAAACCAGTTACCGTCAAGTCAGTCCTGACTCATGGTGACCCCATGTCAGAGTAGAACTGTGCTCCACAGGATTTTTCAATGGCTGACTTTTCAGAAACAAGTTTGCCAGGCCTTTCTTCCAAGGCACATCTGGATGGACTCGAACCTCCAACCCTTCAGTTAGCAGCTGAGCATGTTAATCATTTGCACAGCCCAAGAACTCTTAGAATATTAAAGCATTACTAATTTTTTCCAGCCTGCATGGATCAGTGGACTTAGAGACTTACCGGCTTAGGGATTGTATATGAGCTCCACATGGGCATTCTGATAGCTTTGCCAAATCCACTCACATATTCTCTGTGGTAAAGGATACAGTGTTCCTTGTTCTTCTGCATAACCCTGGGCCTCCCAAATGGCATATTTTCTTTCTCTGTTGCTGTTACTAAGGTGAAAATACAAAACAAATGTTTGTGAAATAAGCAAATGCTTCCATGCATACAATAAGTACCACTATCTAATGGCTTATTATGTGTCAAGTACTCTGATAGATATTTTACATAATCTCTTTTGATTCTTATAACAAACCTATGAGGTAGGTGTTATTATTCCATTCTATAGATAACAAACCGAAAGTTTAGAAAGTAAGTTGCCCAAGCAAGAGGCTAAGCAAGGATCTGAAGCCTGTTCTCTCTGGTTCCTTATTTCTAAAGCTCACAGGATATATTACAAATCGAATCCATTGCCGTTGAGTCAATTCCGACTCATAGCGACCCTACAGGACAGAGTAGAATCGCTCCATAGGGTTTCCAACGAGCAGCTGGTGGATTTGAACTGCTGACCTTTTGGTTAGCAGCCAAGCTCTTTAACCACTTTGCCACCAGGGTAAAATCTCAAGATCAAAAGGATTTGCCTGCCTTGGTAATTGTCACAGGAAATGTACTGTAATTTTATAAAAAAGTGCATCCTAATGTACTTATTTTAACATATGTGATATTATAATCTAAAAATTCATCAATTATGGAATGGTTAAAAAACCTGTAGACTATGCTTGACGTGGAATAAGACTTGGCAAATTATATTATTGTAACAGCTAACACGTTTTCTGAAATCTTACTGTGTGCCAGGTACTAAGTGCACAAATATATTAACTACTTTAATCTTCAGAGCAATTCTATAAAGTAGGTATCCGCATTTTATAAATGATAGAATAAACTTCCCCAAGCCATACGACTAGTAAGTGGCACGGCTGAATGTGAGCCTGGAGTTCATGCTTTTAACCACAAGACTATCCTGCAGATCTACATGAACTGATTTGAACAAATTCCCATAACACATGGTATGATGGATGCTGGGGCATGGGAGCGAAGGAGATGAACTGTAGAACAAGGCTATCAGTGTCATTCTACTTATTTATTCTATGAAGTTGAATTATATATTCCTCCATGTCCATATAATACGTAAATGAACAAAGGCCTGTAAAAATACTGGCTACCTCTAGCAGCAGGGAGAACAGGCATTTTGCTCATTCAATATCTTACTTTTTTAAACAATAATAAAAACATATGAATGGATTAGTTGTGTAATTAGGGGAATAATTTGAAAGGCAAAGAAACTAAACAAAATGGGGAGATAGTGAAAGCATTCATGTGAGGGTATTTTCCAAATATCCTTATAATACAGAGTTCTGTAAACTTTGTCTATAAAAGGCAAGATACTAAATATTTTAAGCTTTGCGGGCCATATAGCCTCTGTGGCACCTTCACAGCTCTGCCACTGTAGTCCAAAGAAGCCATAGACAATAGGTAAACACATGAGCATGGTAGTGTTCTAGTAATACTGTATTTAGGGACATGGACACTGAAATTTGCAACTCATATAATTTATACATGTCATGAAATATTCTTATTTTGCTTTTTTTAAACCATTGTAAAGGTTAAAAACCCTTTTAGCTCTTGGGGTATATAAGAACACAGGCAGCAGGCCGGATTTGCCATGAGGGCCATAGTTTGCAAACCCCGTGCTAGTGCTTTGCCGCTTTAAGTAAGGCCCAGGTTCCAGCAGCATTGGCAGCATATGGGAGTTTGTGGAAATGCATAATCTCAGACCTCACCCCAGACGTACAGAAACAGAGTAAGCTTTTTCAAGATCCCCAGGCCATGTATATGCATGTTAAAATATGAGAAGTACTTGTCTAGGAAGGAGCCCAGTGGCACAGTGGTTAAACGCTCAGCTGCTAACCTAAAGGTCAGTCGTTCCAATCTACCAGCTGCTCTACAGGAGAAAGATATGGCAGTCTGCTTTTGTAAAGATTTACAGCCTTGGAAACCCTAAGGGGCAGTTCTACTCTGTCCCATAGGGTGGCTATGAGTCAGAATTCTATTCAACGGCAATGAGTTTGGTTTTCAAGGACTTGTCTAGGATACAGTAATTATCCTAGAATATTTTTTCGTGTATAATATTTTCTAGTATACTACCATTCAATGTGTTGTTAATAAATATTTATAATATATTAAGCACTAAACTTTTTTGTCTAAGTGATCTGATGTGCATTTGTGCTTCATTTTACCTTTACCTAGATTTATATAATCCTTTTCAAATTTATAAAGCCCCTATACATAATCTTATTTGAGCCTCCCAAAAATCCTATGACTTAGCTGAAAGGATTATCCTTAGTTTACAAATAAGATATCAGAGACTCAAAAAGACTAAGTGACTTGCCCAAGTCTATCAGGAAAGCAGGGATTGAAATAAACCCTGGGTGTTTTTTGGTTTGAAACCAGTCTTTTTCCACATTTATCATGTGACCTCTCTAAAAACTTCATAGCATTTAGACATATTTTACTAATTATTTAGAACCACAGAGTCTTTTTAGATTCTTAATTCAAAATACTATTTTTTAAAAGCAGAAAATTATGTTCAGGTAAAGTGGCTTGCCTAAGACTAGAGAGAGCTAGTGAAAGTTATTGAAGTTTTTTTTTTATACCTGTTTTGTTATTTTTATCAATAATTTGTCCTAAGTATTTTTTGTTTATTAAATGCTCCCAAATGCTAATATAGTATTGGTTTATAAATACAGTTTAACTTTCATTACAATATAAGTAGACTATCTTTATGTCAGTTTTTTCCTGTGCCTCTGATGAAGAAATTTGTGGCAGGCAGGCTCCTTAGCCATGGTTTACCAGAGAACTCGGCTGCTGACCAAAGACGTCTGTAGATCAAATCCACCAGCTGCTACTTGGAAACACTATGGGGCGGTCCTACTCTGTCCTACAGGGTCACCATGAGTCAGAACCGACTCCATGGCAATGGGTTTGTTTTTTTTACAACTCAGCAGAGCCTATGGTAACCAGATGGAAACGGATGAGGTATCTTTTTTAGCTGGCATTGTATAAACTTAGGAGTGATCAAAAGAGCGACAGACAGTTAAAAAAAAATCTGAACATAATATTATTATCAAAAGAATATAAAGCTTACAAGGTCAGAAGTTTTATCTGGTTTGTTCACTATGGTATCCCCAGAACACAGAAGAGTGCTGGCACACAGTAGGCAGTCAATAAATATTTTTGAATAAATAAATGAATTGTAAAGGGCCTCTTCTGAAGCCTTGAGAACACAATTATCATGGCTAACTACATAGACAGACACACAGACATGTACAGATACATAGGTAACTCCAGTAATCTAGTACCTGTTTACAGTTTCAAATAAAACAATTTTACACAAGCAGGATGTAAATTCAGTTTCCTCACCTATAAAATGGGGATAATAACAACTATTTTACCTGGTTGTTTTGAGAATTAAATCAAATATGGTTTAAGACTATGCATATAAAACCTTTGTAAAGTCCTATTATACTGCTGGCTATTTTTCTTAAGCCAGGAAAAATTCAGTAACTATGAATATATATCCTTTCTCATTTGGGTTGGACTAGTGTTTCTCAACCCTGGCTGCACGATACAATACCATAGGGAGCTTATTAAATTAACAATGATGCAAGAGCCACACCCCAAAACAATTAAATCAAATGCTTTCAAGGTAGAGTTCAGCCATAGGAATTTTTATTTTGTTTTTTCTGTTGTTTGTTTTTAAATGAACTCTACCAGTGATTCTGATGTGCAACCAAAATAAAAATCTGGGTTAGAAGGATTTTTATTGAACTCCATAATCCTCCCTTTCCACCAAAGACTTTGATACACCCTTTAGGGACGTGTGGCGACCCCTTCTAATGTGATTGGTCATTGTGTGCTAATGGCAGAGTGGCTTATCCCTCGAGGATGATTATAAAAAAAAAAAATTAAAAACCAGTTGCCATGGAGTCATAGTGGCCCCAAGTAGATCGCCAGGCCTTTCTTCCAAGATGCCTCCAACTTTCAACCTTTTGGTTAGCAGTGAGTGCATTTACCATTTTCACCAGCCAGGGACTCATGGTATGGGTCTATCAGGGAAGAAATTGAGAGCCAGTGGGATGGGAGAGATGGATATGGGAGGTTCACAAAGAAAGGTTAGAACAGGAGTAAGTCAAGAGAATCACTAATTTTCACCACAAGTAATAAGAATACTTAAAAGACAACAGGTAATGATAATATTGCCACTATAGGCCAGGAACACTTCTAAATTCTTTCCATGGATTAACTCTAATCTTTACATCTGCCTGGCATGGGTAGTATTGTTATTATAAATGAGAGGTTAAGTAATTTGTCCCAGGTTACAAAGCCAGAAAGTAACAGAGATAGGACTCAAACCCAGGCCATGGGCCTGTTCACATCTGAGAAAGAGAATAGGAGACTGCAGATGTGGCACAATCATTTCAAGGAAGGTATGTTCCTGGAACTTTTGCAACTACCCCATGCTTGTCACTGTTATTAGATCTGTTTTTTTCCTCCTGTATATCGACAATAAAATCTTTATATTCAACAGGCTCTGTGGGCTTATTTTGGGGAATCACAAAAAGGTAATGTTGTGTTTTGTTTTGAAGCAGTTCTGGCATGAAAGTGGATGATGGCCACTCCAAACGGAAGAACCAGGAGGAATTGTGAGACAGGTGAGAACAAAAATGGAGTCATACGGAGCCTCACAGAGACCTAAACATCAAAAACTTAACACACTTTCTATTGACTTACTTTCATCTGAGGTGAGATTTAGCCTTTGGTTCACGCGTTCTAGAACAGTTTTCTACAAGATAACAGGGAGTGAGGGAGGGGAGTAAGTCGAAGTAATAACACAGGTTTTAAAGGCTGATTAAGAACATTTCTGCAGTAATCACACAAAATATTGTACTACTGAACAAAGAAGCCAGACTAACTTGAGTTTAAATTCCGATTCTGCCACTAACTCTGACATACTTCCCGTATACTTTTTTGTATGTGGGTTTGCAAAGATATAATTGAAAACAGGGCAAAGCTTCAACCACAGTTGGAATCAGCTCCCAAACTGGGATGGCAACCTTCAGTGCCTCTCAAGCTCTAATGTGCATACAAGTCAGTTGAGGATCTTATTAAAATGCAGATTCTGATAAAATAAGCCTGAGACAGGGTCTGAGATTCTGTCTCTAATGAGCTTGCAAATGACAATTTGAGTAGTAAGGGGTATTATTTACAGAGAAGAATTTAGAGTTTGGAATTTAGATCAAGCTTCCTTGACATTGGGCAATTTACCTAACATCTCTGAGCCCTAAAAAGGGCCTATATTATAAAAATCTATAATATGAGGAATAAAATACCCCCTCTATATAAATGTTATTTTGAGGATTAGAGAATGTAATGTCTTTGTCCACCCCTCGCCATAAGGAATAATTTTTACCTGAGGTAGCAAATGTTTATTTAGCTCTACAGTCATATATTGAACTAGGCATCAAATCCACCTTAGAATTTGACTTAGCTTGATGAATTCCTGATACCTGGGCTCCAATTTCATTCTGAAATTCCATCCCCACTCACATTCTCTAATTCTCACAGGTAGGCTGGGTCCTTATGTTTTGATTCCCTGTCCTTAGGACCCTCCTATAGCGCTGGAATCTTGCCTTGTTGAGAGTCTCCTGCTCCTGAGTCTGGTGCCTGATCCACTAAAGGGACCTTTCCAATGCTGACTGTCTGGTGGCCTGCTTCCAAGTGTTCCCTAAGAGGGATTCTCCACTGCTTTCATCTGTGATTCTCCCTGTCAACTGCTTATCTGGATTTATCTGGAATAAGGCCAGACCTCTTGTGAGTGCCAGGCTTTCCTGTGAGCATTTCCTGTTAGTGAGTGTATCTAATGCCAGATCCCTATTTTAAGAGAAACATCCTCCCTACACCCACCCTGCTCCTTCTGTTCTAAATAACCAAGCATGACCATCTGGTTCTGAAGCTGTAAGAGGAGTGGTCTAAACTGGGAACTCAGGGTGGAAAGGTGGAGAGTGCTGACACATTGTGGGGATTGCAACCAATGTCATGAAACAATTTGTATATAAATTTTTTAATGAGAAACTAATTTTCTCTGTAAGTTTTCACCTAAAGCGTAATAAAAAAAAGAGGAACAGTCTGAGGGAAATCAAAGATAGATTCAAGTTTCTACTGTTTGTTAATTAATTCTACTGTTAATTAACCATTAATTTCTAAATAGTGCTTTCCAGTTTACAAAGCACATTCTCATACTTAGTCCTATAATGAATGCATCATAACCTCTCATTTACAGATAAGGTTCGGAGAAATCACATACATAGTAAATATCTGATCCACGACACAAACTGTCTGTCAGGTACCATGGTTATCCACCACCCCCATTATAGACGAGCTTGCCCCTTTACATTCTTATGGACGCATGAAGTTATTACTTACATTTTGTAGCTCAGGGCATGAGCATTCTAGAGACTCTGTGGGCAGTGGATCTGTAAATCCGCAAACAGAAGACTTCGACACTTCCTCTGGGTGGGATGGCTCATAAAAAGGTGCCTTCAGAAGATGGTTTAAACTACCATGGGTACCATTGTTTGGTGCTGGTTGAATGTGTAGAAGATCTGTTTTAAAGATAAGTTTAAAGTAGTTTTAAATTTGAAACTAGGAGTTTTAAATTTGAAAAAAAAGAATTTTTTTAACAGTCACCATAGCAGCTCTTTTATTTTTAGTGTGTTTATACATTTGCTATATACGTTATATGTTATTGTTGTTAAGTGCTGTTGAGTCGATTCTGACTCATAGTGACCCCATGTGACAGAGTTGAACTGCCTCATAGGGATTTCTAGCCTGTAATCTTTTTGTTTTTTAATTTTTTTTTTAATTGTACTTCAGGTGAAGTTTTACAGAACGAATAGTTTCTCATTAAACAGTCAGTACGCATATTGTTTTATGA